CCTCTGGAGAATGTGTGTGCTGGAGGTCCTGCAGCCCACCAGCCCTCTGCCTAAAGCGTTAACTGAGGGATCATTGACCTTTGGAGCCAGATGGGACTTGGCCGTCCACACTGGCACCACCCACTGACAACCGGATGACCCTTGGCAGGAGCCTCCCTCTCCAGGGCTGGCTTCTCCTTCTAAAAAGAAAGTCCTGAAGGCAGGCCCATCTCTTACTCCTGCTCTGCATCACATGAGCTACTGGGACAGGGGAATTCCCAAGCTTGTAAACAATGCCAAACCGGACTTTTGCACTTAGGAACTTGACCTGCCACCTCGTGGGTTTGAAGTGGTTCACGATGAAAGGGACAGGGTCGAGAGGGTTCTGAAGTCATTACCAACAGCAACAACCATTTGCTAGATTTTACACTGCCAGGCCTTTCGTTATCTATTCCTACAACAGCTCTAAGTAGTTGTTGTTACCCATTTACAGATGAGTTAAGAAGTTAAGTGGTTACCCAAGGTCGCAGCCACCGCCCATGTGCCATAATGGATTTCACACTCAAGGAAGAAAATGATACAGGAGACCCCATGCTTGGGTGGGAGATGGGGAAGGAAGGTGCTTCGCGATCAATGTAATCCCCTAGGGTAGCCGCGGGGCAGCCCCATGAGGAGTTCCAGCTGCCTCTTGAGGGAAGGACTGTCAGATGGCCCTGGCCGAGTGGACTTCGCTTCGCCTCAAGCTCAGTGATGTGGCTTGAACCTGTGAGCAGATGCTGAAAACAAGGCCAAGCAGGTGGAGTGATGAGCTTCGAGAGGAGGACCAGGACAGGGCCTGTCCTCACCAGGACAGAACCTTACAGACACCTGTGCAAGGGGTAGTGTGAGCCGCCACACATACACACATACAGCCCAGAGGATATAGGGGACAAAGGACTAATGGGGGTGGAGAAACTTGGCAGACCTGCCACAACTCTGCCCCACAGTTTACTGCTCCTGCCCTCCACGAAAGTGCTGGCGAGCTCCAGACAGACGGAGAATTCAGACACCAAACCCACTTCCCTCCAACACCGTGTGGTGACCCTGTCGCAGGCCTCTGCAGACAGGACAATGAAGACACGTTCTTCATTGAAAGGAAGCAAAAAAACAAGAACTAAGGGGCTTTAATAATAAAAAACAGTAGCAAGAAGAAAGGCAAAGGGCAGACTCTCACTTTCTGGAACATACGTGGGTGATACAGGGATTGGGGAAATGAAACAAACTGCCCGTGGCGCCCCGCCGAGCAGGCAGGGGAGTGGGAAGCCAGGCACCGCGCTGTGGGAGAGAGAAGCGGGAGGAACAGCTGGTGTGTGAAGAGAGACGGGGGCAAGTGGAGACCCACCTCAACAGCAGAGGTTGAAACCAAGAACTGCAGTAAGGGAGCAAAGGGTTGAAGGCCACGTTGCAGAAGGAAGAGTCAATAATTATAAAATAATCTTTAGTGATTAAAAACACATGAAGACTTTATCAGAGATCACACATTAGAAGATGGATTTTACAAGTTGTATTGTGAAAGAAAAAAAATAGGAAAGGAGGAGTCCACAAGCGAAGTGGCAGCTTACTTGGTTACTTTACATTAGAAAACAACTAGGTGCCTTACAGAAGCCAGATCATTCTAATGTATCAATTCAATGCATAGGGGAGGCTGAATCCTTGTCACAATGGCTGCCCTGGGAGATGGCCATTCTTAGCTCAAGCGTTTAGTCTGATGCCACAGATTATTGTGTATTAAGATTGTAGATCTGGAGAATAAAATTCAGAGATGAGCTCTGAGATCAGAGAAGTTTAGGGGAAGAGCTTGACCTGGGGAGGTTAGATCCCAAAACGTAGCCATATCGACCCACAATGTACACAACAGGTGCTCAGTAAAGATCATGAGTTAAATGAATGGCTCCACATTCTAACTGTCTTCTGATCTTGCTCCAAACTAACTATTTTTTGTCTTATTATTTTTGTTTTTTAATGTGTTTATTTTCAAGGAGAGAGACAGCCGCAGTGAGAGAGAGGAGGCAGAGGGGAGACACAGAATCAAAGCAAGCTCCAGGCTCTAAGCTGTCTGCACAGAAACCCGGCGGGCTCGACTCACAATTTCTTGAGAATCTTGACAGGCGAGTGGGATGCCCTAAGCAGCTGGAGCCACTTGACGCCCCCAACCCTGCCTCATCTCCTCTCTAGTCCCATAGTCTCTGGGCTGACTCTTCTCCTCATTGCCTGCACCAGTGTGTAGACAGCCTTCATGACAGCAGTGCCTGAGACAGGTTTCCAGCCAACTAGGAGCTGCCAGGGGAGGCAGGATCCCTGCCCGGGAGGCTCTCTGGGTCCCCCAGGAGAGGGCCTAGAGGCCAACCTACCTGGAGCTGCTGCCAGCACTGCTCCCTCCTCCTCTTTTCCAGGATGTACAAGGGAGACAGGTGAGCAAAGTGATGGCCGGAGGAGATCTCACAGGGACGTAGCTGTGGTGTCCCAGATGTGGAGTCCCACATTGTCTTCAACTGCTTCTGCTTCTCCCAGCCTCAGGCCCCAGCCCCAAGCCAGGAGCCCACAGTGGGTGTAACACAGTTTCGTTGATGTGGAAGGCCGAGCTTTCATCGAGGACAAGGCTCCTGCTGGAAGTGTGGGTGCCTGGGTGGACCTCCACACACACGGCAGGTAAGCAGGTGCGTCTGGGCAGGGAGCCCAGGTCCTAAGATGCCGTTTCTGTGGGCTCAGGAACCTGGCTGCTTTGGGGGAGGTGGAAGGTGCTGCCCGGGGAGGCAATAATCCCACATGTGTCACATTCTGGAGGAAAAAGAGAAACTAAGGGATCAGGGCTCTGAGATGAGGACAAGGTAGAAGGCGCCCAGAGGGAATAGTGGTACATCAGGAGAACATCAAGGTAACAGCAGAGGCCAGAAAGGAAGGAGCAGAGGCAGAAGAGGGGAAAGTGGGGGGGGCGGAGGAAGTGAGCCGACCTCAACAGGAGACCTGCAACAGGCGTAGCTCTGCTGGCTGGGAGGAGTAGAAGCGACCCCAGGGGTGGGGGTGGGGGGGACCTGGCTCTGCTAAAAGCAGTTGTGGCAGTCCTTGCCTCTCAGCCTCTCTGGGACTCCTTTCTTTCAGTAAAGCAGGGATAATGTGCCAACAGCCACAGTAGCTAGGAGGCTTAAGCATAATAATGTAGGTCTCTGGAGCCTAGCATTACATGCTGAAAATGATGTGAGAATTAAATTGCCTGCAGCGGCAGACTTGAAATGCATCCGGAGAAAATGGAGTGAGCCCGATGGTGCGGATGGAAGGGCAGACGGACAGACAGATGGACACACTGCACGCTAAAAGGCAAAATATAGCAAACTTTCATGTTTGGAAACCTGATATTGTAAAATATAAGCTATATTTATCATTACAAACTACACAAAATACATAAAATATGAATATATAAAGCCACATGCAAGTAGAACCCAGGCCATGGGTATCTGGATACTCTCTTCGCTATACGTTCTTTCAACTTTTTGTGTATATATCTTTATTTCCTTGTAATAAAGTCACAGTGAATGATGTTGGGGGAAGTGGGAATGAGCAGGGGCTTTAAGCAGCACACCAAGAAACCATAGAAAAAGTGAGGAGTGTCTGGGAAGGAAGGAGCTAGAGTAAAAGCTGTGTAAGGGGAGGGGCGCGGCCCTGAAGCAGATCTCAAGGGAGGAGGAAACTCGTACCTCTGAGATCAAAGCAGTTCATCAGTTCTTGAACCCATTGGTCTCCTGCTACCTCCAGACGGGTAGCTGGAACAGAGAAAGAGAGGGGTCTCTGGCCACCCTTATCCCAACCTTTCCTGTTCCAAAGTGTGGGGTCATCACCAACAGCAAAGTGAGGACAGCCTTTTCCCAGGCAGGAGGGGGGAGATTCCCCACGTCATAAGACAGGGGAAACAAGCTGGACAATGTGGGCTTGTAACCCAGAGGGGGGGCTCCCAGGGGTTCCAGTTTGACCAGAGGGGTCCTCAGCATGCACCCAGAGCTGCCCTCCCCCAGCAGTCCCAGTGAGCTTACCGGATGTAGGAGTTACAGCGATGATACACTTTCAAGGTGCTTTCGGAATGTGCAGTAACGCTTTGGAGGGCAGGAGCTGTCCGCAGTAACAGCTGCCAGTGGCATGCCCTCGTTGCTGCCAGCGCGCCTTACAAGCTGGCGGGACAGGACAGAGGTAGTCGGCTTCCGGGAGTTCCCGGCGGGCTCCCCGGCTGCCACCAGCTCAACCCACTGCTCGTTGCAGCCTCTTCGTCGGGATCTGACCACCGGGCACAACCCACCCCATCCGCACCGCCAAACGCGTCCCTGATGATCGTCCCCAGCCCAGGCGTCCCCCCAGCCTGTCCCCAGCCCTCAGGCAATGGCCCCCCTCACCCCCGGCAGCCTGGGGACCCGGGCTCAACGCCTGCCCCACCCACCACAACCCCTGCGGCCCTCAGCCCCCCTCCCATCCCGTCCCCGTTCCCGGACTCCCAGGGAGTCTGGGCGCCACCCCGCTCAGGACAGGAACCTGGCCGAGGCAGCAGCTCCAGCAGGAGGAGGAAGAGAGCTAGGGACCAGGTCCCCAGGGCCGCCCTCATATCGGGACCAGCGGCACCGGGCGATCAAGAGTTCCTCCCGGTCCCGTCGAGCCCAGGTCAGGGGGGCTGCGCAAACTGGCGGCGCCCTCCTGCCGCGCACGCGCCGTCCGAACCGACAACGCAGTCGGTACTGCGGGAACCACGCGCCGGACCACGCCTCCGCCGCGGGAAAACCCCGGAGGCGGGGCCCCGCGCCCGCGATCACGCCCCCGCGATCCCCACCCCGCCCCCACGCCTGCCTGCCCTTGCGCCCGCCAGGGAACGCGCCGAAAGCAAAGAAAAGCCAGCTGCGCGCGGGGACGGGAGGCCGACGGGCGACTCCGGCTGCCGTCCGCCCGCCCAGGCCGCCTCGGCGCCAGGACTCCGACGCGCTTCCCGGCGCGGGTCTGTGCCGGTGATGCCGGCCGGGAGATCAGGCGGGGCCGCACACCAGCCTGGCCCCTCGGCGCCTTCCCCGACGCGCGGGGCAGTGGCCACCGAGGCAGCCTCAGGCGTGACGTCACGCCGCGCCCCACCCCACCCCCAGCCAGCCCGAGGTGTTACCTTGAAAGTGGTGGCGGCTGCAGGTACGGGCTGAGGCGGCCGGGAGGCTGGAGTCCCTGGGGGCTCCCCGCCGAACCGATCAGGCGGAGGATGCCCGGCTCCCGACGGATCCCCTCTTGCCTCCTGCAACCACTTCCCCTGGGTTGGCCCTCCAAAAGCCTGCTCACCGGCACCGAACCCGGTCCTGAGGTTTGAACCCCCAATACAAAAGCCTCTCTGTTGACTATAATCTTAAAACCTCCTAGCCCCCCTTCCAAGTCTATTCCCCATTCCACCTGAGCCCATAAACTAGCCTCTGCTCCTAACATTCCTCAATCCAGAGGAACCACACAAATGCATTGACCCAACCCTCAGACCCGCCCTCCCATCTTGGCAGGCCAGCCCCCCCAAACTCCCCTCACCATACATCCGTTCCTCTGCTCGGTGGGCCCAGGCCCCTGTATGAAGACATGGAGTTGTATCTGGATACCGGGATGAATTCCCTTGACCCCAGCTGCCCTCCTGTTGGCTGAGCCAGTTAGCACGACAGGCGCCCGGGGCTGAGGCCAGCAACGAGAAACTTGCCCCAAGCGCCAGCTGGAAGGCGCTGAATCAGAAGGCTGCCCCGGACCCGCCCTTTAGGTGCACTGCATGTTCTGCCCAACCGTGTCTTGAAATAGCCTGGGGCAGGAGCAGAGCCAGGCCCTGGTCGAGACCTGGGGGCTGCCCAGTTCCTGGAGATGAGCCCCTCCACCTGCCCGGACCTAAGCCCCTATGTCAGTTTTGTCAGCCTGGAGGAAGGGGGAGGAAGCAGGGAGGAGGAAGGAAGGAAGGAAAGAAGAATGGAAGGAGGAGGGTGCAGGCTTGGAAAGGTGAATCCAGACAAAAGTAATGGGGAGACCCCTCTTGCCTACCAGCAAGGGAGAACTCCCACAGGAAACAAACCCTCAAGGAGAGGCCAGGAGAGGAGCCGGAGCAAGGCAGGAGGTGGAGGTGCCCAGGATTGCTGCCGAGAAGATAAGGCAGAGGGCAAGCAGTCCCTGAAGGAGAAGGGGGCAGGAAGTAGTGGTAAGACCCCGGGGTGGGGCCTGGCCTGCCCTGACCCCTCTGCGCCCCCCCTCCCCGCTTTGGAGGGCCTCTATACCTCAGAGCCTGGCCAGAGTCACTTGAGGTGGCCTGCAGGCTGATAATAATAAGCCAGGTGTTTTCATTGTGACCACAATGTTTTTTGGTTTTGGTTTGTTTGTTGTTTTTTTTTTTTAAATTTGAGTAACATTTATACATTGAAATTAAAAGCCAAACAAACTCAGAAACATTTAAAGTTGCAACAGCAGGCCTGCATTTCTGCTGTGCAGCAGTTTATAGATGGAGTCACGTCCTCTCTCCCTGGTCCCTCCTGTTGTTCATTTTTGTTGACTTGCTTAGCCCCTAGGCCTGGTGTTCACACCCCTGACTTTCCCCTTCTTCCCAGAGCTGCCCCCCTGCACCTTTCCTGCCTCTTGCTGTGTGGACCCGAACATGGCACCATCTTGGGCATTGACCTACCTACAATGGATGGAGCCCAGGGCAGTGCAGGCAGGCAAGGGCTCAGACCCAAGAACCTATTTTCGGGCCTATGCTCTCTCTGCCACAGCATGGCCACCACCCCATGGGCTCAGGAGACCCTCGAAAGCCTGACAGCCTGTGGGGAGATGCCCAGCTGCATGGGTGATCCAGTATCTGGGATGGGGAGGGGGTGGGAGGAAGGAGCTGGGGGTCTCTGGACTCTGAGCAACCCGGGGAGGCTGACTCCGTCTCCACCCCACTCAGAGAGGCTGGAGAGTCTGGTCCCGGAGGCTGGGAGTGAGGGTGGGCGCCGATGCGGACATGGCAGGTCCCCGGCGGGCTTCCACGATTTGCCTCCCTTCAATTCGAACCTGCCTGCGTCTGCTTATATGCTTGAACTTGTAACTTTGAAGTGAAGCTGACACCTTTGGTGAGCAATAGCCAGAAAGATGGGGTGACAGGGAGGAAGATCCCAGCAGTCAGGAGGCAAACAAGACAAAGCTGGCCGCTGAGGCCAGGGAGACAGAATGGGGACAGGGAAGTAAAGGAGAGGAAAAGGGCAGCTGTTGACAGCAGAATATACAGAAAACAGACCAGAGTGATATATGGGCAGCTGCGGACGGACAGACAGCAGACCGAGGCCTCAGGGTCGCATGGTGTCCCCACCCCGTGCCCCCAGCCCAGTGTAGTCTGCAGTCTTATTGTACTGCCCGGAGAGGGAATCTTAATCTCGGGCCCGGCCCCAAGCGGCGTGTGAAATGTCGGATGTCTTGTGCGTATTGAGCCACGGTTTGGTGCCGGGCTGGCGGCCTTCATGGAGCATGCCCGGGGTGCCGCTCTGCCCACCCTGCACATGCGCGGGTACCACCAGAGATCAAGATGGGGTGGGAGGAACCGGGGGCCAGGTCTTGTGACTCTGCAGTCCTGGGGCTGTGGTTGGCAGAAGTAGTGCTGGGGGCTCAGAAACAGGGCTGGGGACCCTGGGCTGGCTACAGGGTCTGGGGCTGAGGTGTGTGCCTGGGTCCCTGAGGGGAGCTCAGGGGATCGGGCAAAGCCAGCTCCACCCCTAACTGGTGACTTGACTTTTTAGGCAGCTCTGTTTCCTCATCTGCAATACCAGAGTATATTAACAAATGCTCAAGCCGGAGAAAATGCGTTCTAAGGATTCTGTGGATGAACTTTTACACCTGCTATGCTGTGAACACCAGAGGCAATTCAGACAGGGTCCCTTGGGAGAAACTGAGCTTGGAAGCCTTAGTCTGGGGTCCTGGCCACCAGGCCCCTCAAGCCCCTCCCCTCCTCTCCCTTCTGCAAGGAAGCCAGTGGGAAACCTTCAACAGGAGGCCTTCCCCTGGCTCCGCGGGGCCTCACTGCGTGGCTACTGGACCCAGCTCAGCATGCTGATTCCAGGCCCTGGCAGCCCAGGCACCCCCGGGCAGCCGCGCCATCCTCAGTGTCTTCTTCTCAGTGGTTTGTGGTCTCTTCAGGCACGGGCCTCAGCCCTAGAGGGCGGAGAAAACAAGTTGTCGGATCCCAGGTGTAGCCTCTGCATAAAGCACCAAACTCCACCATCACCCCAGGGCTATAGTAGGCGTATCCCAGTCCTCAGGGGAAGTCACCCCCCAGCCTTGAAGCCTCACACACAGGCCACTGTCACTGCTGCCCTTACAGCTCCGGGAATACAACTCCTTTTGGAAGGAGAAGGGGGGGAAGGGGCTCGATGGGGGTCTGACACCGGATCATCTTCCTTCCTTCACTGGGAGATCACCAGCTTCTCCAGAGGATGGGCCTCAGCCTGATGCCTCCTGTGCTAGGTGCACCCAGGAGCCTCTTTGGTGAGCTGGGGGCCTTAAGGAAACCACAGATAGAGACAGGAGCAGGAGGGCAGCAGTCTGGGTGTGGGAAAGAAAAGAGGCTATTGAACTGGAGGGGCTGGGGTCAGGCAGACCAGGGCGTCCCCTCAATGGCTCCCACTCTCCCAGCAGGCTCATGGCAGATTACTACACGTGGAGGGGCCTCGGCCCAGATCCCATGGCTGTGCTTCTCACCTACCCATGACTGTGTACTATGTCATCACCCACCTGGTGCCCCAGTCCTGTAAGGAAGGAGAGCGAGCAGGGGACAGAAGTGCAGGAAGCAGGGGAGCTGGCAGGGGGGGCTGGGGGGGGGGGGCGAGGAGAAGGGGAGACCATCTTCTTAAGTGGCAACTTCCTCCCCCAGTCCCTGAGCTCAACATCCAGAACAAGCAGTCACTGAAAATCCGCGTGGTGGAGGCGGGAAGGGAGGTTGACCTGGTCATGGTGTTGTTGAAGTCCCTCGGGACAGCAGAAGGTTGAGTACGTGGAGGTCGTGCCAGGTGAGCCCCTGATCCTGTGCTTCTCTGTCCTTCAGGAGCTCTTGGTCCTGCTCCCCCAAGTGGCCCTAAGGAGGCTGCAGTTTGTGGGGCTGAAACTGACCTGCCCCTGAGAGTGACCAGCGGCATTTTGCCTGCAGGGGTGAGGGCTGGTGGGCAGGTGGTGGGGCCTGCTCTCCACGCCTCCCTCCAGCTCTCCCCTGTGTTGCCCTAAGGCAGCTTCCCAGTGCCCTAGCGTCCCCAGCCCTTTCTCCACTCAGCTCCTGGCTCCCAGGATGGCCCAGAAATGTCTGTCCGTCCTGGTTCGGGTATGAGGCAGCTCAGGGACAAGGAGAGAGAGAAGGGGAGGCGCGCACTTGGGAACCTGCAGATCAGGTGTCTACCCGCGGCCAGCCCTACCACCTGCTCCAGGAGCCCAAACCTGACCTGGTTATGCTCAGTAGAGCACCTGGGGTAGGCGTGTGGGGAGGCCGGGGAGAAACCCCATGAGGCCGACAGCATCTGCTGCGCTCTCCTCTCTGCAGGGTTTAACTCCGGCCGGTCTCAGGACACCTGGCGCAGGCTAAGCTGCCCGGCTCCAGGTGGGGGGATGGGGCAAAGGGACCTGCTTTCTCTCCTCCTGCCCAGTCCTCCCTCCTTTCCGGCCTCTTCTTCCCACCATCGCTCGATTTTTTGCAGGGCACGCCAGTCCTCCGGTCCACCATCCGTCCGTCTGTCTGTCTGTGTGTCTGCCCTGACTCGTGCCTCCCTCCCCCCCCGCCACCCCCGTCTGCCGCTGGCGCCAGGGAGAGGGAGTTGAGTGCGGCGCCCGCTGGGAGATCTGGGGCCCGCGCCCCGCCCCACTAGTCCCTCCGGGTGCCGGCCGCTATTTCACCGAGGCAGCGAGGTGCGGCTGTGTGGTGGACGACCAGACCATGGCCCGGTGGCCACGGGAGGGCGCAACCCCCCCAGACCCCAATCCCTTCCGCTCCCCTTTTCGCCTGCAGTGACCCGACAACTGCATGCCCTGAGTGACTGCCCTTTTTGCAGAGCCCCCGCGGGGATCCTCCCTCCTCCTGGGACCCCCTGCGGCCCCCCCCGGCCCTTTTGACCCCGCCCCGCACCGATCTTCCTCCGCCGCCTGCGCCGCCGCCCCGCCCGGGGCGTGTCCCTCCTCGGGCCGCCCGCCCTCCTGACAGCGCCACGCGCCCCCTCCAGATACTACCAGCAGCAGCTAATCTTCCACCTGGTCTACAAGCCCCCCCACCCAGGCAGGACCGCGCCCGGCACTCAGGACCCGCGCCCCAGGCCCTCCCCCGCCACGCACTCACTTCCCCCGCCCGGGCATAGGGAGGGGAGAAGAAACCCAGGCAGGGGGGGCCATACTCCTGTACACAGGAGTGAGGACCAGTGTGGCCGCCAGCGCCCCCGCCAACCACGCCCCCGAAGCAGATCGGGCCGCGCGCACGGCAGGCGTTTGGCCGGATCGCGCGGAGATAAATAAAGTGCTCGTTTGAAAACCGGAATCACGCGCGCCTTCCGGTTATACGCCCCGGACGGGTCATAAACGGAGGAGGAGAGGAAAAGGATTTCAGGATGACTCATTGCCCTCCGGCTTCTTTCGGCCCCACTCATGTAATGTGTCGCCTCTCTTCCCCGCAACGACTTCCCTCCTTGCCCGTCCCAAACTCCTGGGGTATTGTGTGTGTGTGTGGGGGGGGTGGTAAAGTCATTCCAGGCCCCTGTAACCCTCAGGGGACCTGCCCCAACTTCCTGAGACCCGAGAGAAAGTGGCTTCTCACTAGCAGGCAGGGCAAAGCATACAGGCTCCAGGCACAGACCCCGTGGTTTAGAGCAGCCAGAAGGGGCTAGTACACCCCCAGGCCCTCCTCCATCCAGTCCACCTTCTCTCGTTCCGCATATCCAATTGAGGGGGGCCAACTTCTGAGTCCAGCTGTAGTGAAGTTCACCTGTTGGTTCACCAGACAGAATTCCCCCTAGGGCATTAGTCCCTGCTTCAATCCCCTCTCCTCCATTCTTAAAAATCCCATTGAGTGTGGGCTGGAGCTTGAGTGCCTCCGTGGCTAAGTACAGAAAGGAAAAGTAACAGAAGCTTGGCACACACCACTTTCCCCAAGTAGTAAGTCATGTTGCTGTCATATGCTCCCCGACCTGTTGCAATAGAGGCCCATCACCTTAGTGTTCTTCTAAATCCTAAGCTCTACTCATCCTGAAAACATGGTTATCCAACCTGTGGTGGTCTGCAGAGCATGACCACTCCTGCCAAAGTGTCAAAGTCACGAGGCGGCGAGGAAGAAGACCAGAAAACTGTGACGAACTGGAAGAGACAGGGGACATGATGTCTAAAGATGACGTGGTACCTAGATTCGGATCCACTAGGGCAAAAAGGACTTTGAATTGGGAAAAAAGCAGAATCAAATAAAATCTATATTTAGCTAAAGGTATGTAATTGTCTGTGCTAATGTCTCAGTTACATAAACTTACACACTGTGGTGGTTTAAGACAGATTAAGGAAAATGGGTGAAAGGGTACAAGACATTCTGTCTTTGCAGCTTTCTAAATAAATCTAAAAAATTATTTCATTTGCATGTTTTGTTGCTGTATTATTTTGAGAGAGAGAGAGCACAAAGGGAGGGCAGCAACAGGAGAGAGAGGGGGCAGAACTCCAAGTAGGCTCAGGAGCTAGTTCCACTGGCTGCATAAGGAAATGCAAATTAATAAGAAAAAAAAGAAAGTAAAATAACACAATCTAGTTTACATCTATAATAGCTAAAATGAAATTTTAAAAGAGTTCAAAAACATTTTTGCTGTTATTTATTTTTCAAGGAACAAGAGAGTGAGCAGGGGAGGTCAGAGACAGGGGGGAGAACACAGGGTGCGAGGCAGGCTCAGGCTCTGAGGTGTCAGCACAAACTCGACAGGGGCTTGAACTCACTAACCCTGAAGTCATGACCACAGACAAGTCCGACGCCAACAAAACTGAGCCACCCAGGCGCCTGTCTTTGGTTTTAAAATGCTGGGGTAGGAGGCATGTTTGGGGCAATGGACCCACAGCTCCCCTATGGAACAACCACAGGTGTCCTTACACAATCGGACAGGCAGTCATTCCCCAGGAATAATCGGAGGCTCCAGCTGTCAGCCGCCAAGTCACCGCGTGCGCCACTGTCAGGTACTGTTCAAAGGCCGTGTATTGTGAGTAACATAGACCCTCCTCTCCCCTATTACTTGGAAATTCCAAGATTTTTGACTTACTATGCCTGCAGGGAACTGGGACACACACAAAATATATATTATCATATCACAATATCTTTCACCCCCAGCTTTTCCCCAAGAGTGTTTGAAGGCACAGCCCAGACATCAGTCATCTTACTCATATGCATCCTATAACCCCAACTCATAAGGGCTTTGAAAAATTGTATTACAGTAGGCCATTATCACAAAAGTTAACATTTATTCTTTAATATCTTGTATGTAATACCCAATTCACGTTCAAATTTCCCGATTATCAAAGATGGCACACAACTGGTTTGTTGCAATCAAAAGAAATAACAAGGTCAGAAGGAAGCCTGGGGCTCAATTAGGTTAGCGACCGGCTTCATGCAGGTCATGATCTCATGGTCTGTGAGTTTAAAACCCCGTCGGGCTCTGTGCTGACGCTCCGAGCCTGGAGCTGCTTAGCCGGATTCTGTGTCTCCTTCTCTCTGCTCCCCTTCCCTTAAAAAATAAATACACATTAAAAAGAAAGAGAAAAGCAAGGTCCACGCACGTGGCTTGTACTGTCCCATTGGTCTCTTTTTTATATTGAGGGGATTCCTGTCTTTCTTTCTTTTTGTTTTCATCTCTTCCCTGTGAAACTGAATCATTTGTCCTGTAGAAAGTTTCTCATCTGGATGATCACAACCGACCATGACTTGAAGTTTTTTTTTTTTTTTTTTTTAATTTGTGTCACCACCCTTTGAGTGCCTGTAAGGGGTAGATAGATCCAGCTGGGAAAGGCCCTTCTCAGTGGCCTCTGCCAACCTCCAGGCAGGGTTCATGCCACCTTCGCCCCCTCTCCACCCCTCCAGCCAGCAGCCTCAAATAAAGAGACATTGACGTGGAACTTCCCCGTGTTCTTGCTCAGCAGTTCCTCAGCCCCTAAACATCACTTCCTTGGAAGGTACAACTTCCTTGACTCCCAGATAAGGGTAGACCCGCCCACCCACCACCCCAGCTGAGCCTCAGGCCTCCCTAAAACTCTAAAAGGGAAGCCTAGATCCCTGCTGAATTGAGGGGAATGGGAGCTTTTTACCACTCTTGGCCAGAAAACCTTTCCCTAAATTCCTGCTACATGCCATATGAAAGGATATGGTTATCTCCTACTGAGTAGGATTACTAAGGATTTTGCTGGCTCATTTTGACTCAACGTGGCTCATTTTTTCAGCAGCCATACAGTACCTGGCACAAAAATGTTTAATTTACGAGTTGCTGTCTTTAACCAATTCACTTCCTCAGTACTGATTGAATGCACACCACGAGGTGGGTGTACTTTAGAGAGAAGCGGCCAAAGGGAGAACAGACTTATGCTTTACCAGAAAACTCACGTCAAACTTTCAGTCACGGCAGCGGGCCAGCAGGCTGTGGCCTCGGCCAAATCTAGCCCGCTGCCGTCACTGCGACCTGCAGGCCTCTGAAGTCAGATCAAAAGAAGAGCGTTTGTGATGTGAAAATTGTTATGAGCTTCAAATTGCAGTGTCCCTAAATCTATAGTGAAATAGACCCACAACTATTTATGTGTTGTCTGTGGCTACTTGAAAGTTAAAACAGACTTGTGCTTGTGACAAACCATGCATTACAAAGCCTAAAATATTTGCTAACAGGCTTTTCATAGGAAACTTACCGTGACCCTAGTTTAGAGCAGGATTTTCAAAAGCAGGCGCCCTGGCTGGCTCGATCGGAAGAGCATCCAACTTTGATCTCAGGGGTTGTGAGTTCGAGCTCCCAATGTTTGATATGTAAATTACTTAAATACTTAGAAGAAGGAAGATTTTCAAAATGCTGAATTTATGAGTTTATAAAATCCAATTTAAGTGGGCCTCAAACAGCGTTCTATTTTTAAAAGTGTTAATGTTTGTTTTTTGAGAGAGAGAGAGAGGGCAAGTGAGGACGTTGTCCCGGGCAGAGAGAGAACACTGTTGCATCCACACGACTCTGAAACACTCTGAGGCACCAGTGACAGTCTAACAAAGTTTATTACAATGAGAGAGCAAAGGCTAGCCGGTCAGGACCAAACACTCTTGATAAAGAGTGTGGCCCAGGCGAACAACAGAGAATTACCTACTATAACATCACATGTTTTATCATCACACAGGAAAAAAGAACAAAGGAAGCAGTTTCAAAGTGAGTTAAAACAGTTGCTAATGAGGTGTTTACTTTAGACTTTCTGCCTCTAAGTTGCAGCAGTGGATCTCCTTGACCCTACCTCTGACTCTCTTTTCTTTGAACTTTTGTTCCTTAATTGGTGACCTAATTTACAAGGGTATGAGGCGTAGTTTACCAAATTGAAAATGACTGTTGTCTCCTTAACCTTCAGTGTCAACCTAAACTGTTATTTTTTCAAGCTAAGCATTAGCCTACACTACAATTTAACCCTTACAGCTTACAGAATCAAAAAGCAGGCTCAAAACAAGGCTATCACAGTATTACTCAGTACTTATAGGGCTTCCCACAGAACCCGCGAGACCATGACCTGGTGGTCAGATACTTAACCAGCTGAGCCCCCCAGTGGCCCGGCGCGCACCATATATGTTTTATATGTGTGTTGCGTCATGATATGAAATCTCTCTTTTCTGTAGACCATGGTCCGACATCGAAAAGTCACTGGCTTAGAAGGAGGCCTGGAAGACACAGAAGAAGTAACTTGAAAGTTGCAATTTAAGTGCCATGATTACTTAGAAATTGAAAAAAACTACTGAACTTAGAAAATTGAAGGCACTAAGACAATAACCCA